TTGCTTCCTAAGAAGTCCCACTGGGGCTAGGACATCTGCAAAATGGATGGACAATAGTGAAAGTCCCAGCCAAGACTACTGGAGTTGTAACTAGCTCACAGAGTAATTCCCAATGATCAATTGTTCTTCCAAGAAATATCAGTAACATGCTTATTACATCTTATCAGTCTGGGGAGCTTTCAAAAATAACAGTGATGGAAATCCATAGCCATAGTGAAAGAGCCAAACAATTCCCTCCCTGCTTTTACCTGACAGCTCAATGCTAAGCCGAGATTTGCTCCTTCAGCTACCAGCTGTGATTTCAGTTCTCATCATGCAAGTCTTATCTAAACTACACCACAGCATGTTTTCCAAATGTCCCCATCTCACCCATCCATGCTGCATGATTTATTTCTCAATCAAATGTTGACATTGTGATGTTAGCATTCATTCTGACATCCTGGCAAGCATCAAAGCACTGTCCCTGTCTGGCAGTGATGTGAAGGTCTGTGACAATGAAGGCTAGGAGCCACTTCTCTTCATTTTCATCAGCACAAAGCACAGCAAAGTATTCCATTGAGCAGCATAGATTTAAAATCAGTAGTCTGAAGGTTCCTAAATCTGTTTCTGCGTCAATATGAATTCATGTAAAAGACCTCCGATTGCCCCATTGGTGTCTGCCTCACAAAAATCAAGATAAAGCAGCTTGCACTTTGCCTAACAACTAAATAAAGCAGAAAGTAAAAATCACACACACACACGCACACATACACACACAATCCTACTGATGTATGATTTTATTGGCATTGTCATCAGAGAAGCCAAAAGACCAGCATCATTCCCACATCAAGTGACCATGATTTTTTAACCCAGTTGTGAAAATAAAGACAACTGTATGTACAGACGTCAAAAGACCAATCTGTAACCTGCAGGCATTTCTTTAACCGTGTCTGCAGGTCAAAACAGAAGCTATCACTGCTTTGATTCTGTTGTATAAACCTGGTGTCAAGAAAGTCTTAACTCTTGCCAGACAGCTTAAAACTACTTTGGTCTGCGTTTGTTTGAGACGGAACTTGGGATTACATTGCTTCTGAGGCCCATTTCCAGTGTTCTTTTTGGGTTTTAAACTTTCTTGCAATGAGTGAACTCTTGAGCTGGAAATTACCTAAGTAACAAAAATTCAGAACCAGCTTCCAGCTATTTTGGCAATTACTATCTTCACTAATTACCAACCAATCACACACACACACACACACACACACACACACACACACACACACACACAATCTGTTCACATTCCAAACTGGCAATTTAAGAAATAATGATCCAAATAGTAGTAGGTAAAACTTTTCAGATTGAAATTTGGTAAAACATTACATGCTGTGATTCAATAATCCCATTACAAGGAATTTAGCCAATGAAATAATCAGCAACTCAACAATAACATACAAATGAAGAGGCTACTCATGAGTGCAAGGCATAGAAAAGAAACACTAGAAACCAGCTCAAAACCAGGAGTTAGATTAGAAAATCCTCATCCATGACTTAAGCTATCATTCGGCCACTACCACTCAATAATTCTCATTATAAAACACTGATGTTGTTTGGTACACAGCAAGGCATAAAGTTATGTGAAATAAAATTTGGTTTCATCAAGTTAATATGACTTTCTATTTTGATAAAATCCCCATAAGATGTGAGTTCCTAAGCAACATAGATTGCAAATCAACTTGCAAAAGAAACCTGGAACATTGGAATACAGTTAAAAATCATGGCAAAACAGGCCAGTCGCTTCCTTTTCATGTTCAGGTTTACTTTTCTTGTGATTGTTTTAAGTGAATACTTGAAATGTTTTGAAATTGCTTTTATTTATTTGAAAAACAGAACAAGACTAATGGAAAAAGTGTGTGCGTGTGAGAGAGAGATAGACACAGAATCTTCCATCTGCTGGTTTACTCCTCACATGCCCATAAGAGCTTGGAGTGAGTCAGGCTGAAATCAGGAACCAGGAACCCCAACCAGGTTTTCTATGTAAGTGTGGGACCCAAGACCTTCAGTCATCCGCCACTGCCCAGGGTACGCAGTAACAGAAAGCTGGATTGGAAATAGAGGCAGTATTCAATCCCAGACGCTCCAATAGGGATGCCAGCTTTCTAACGCCTTGTACAACTCTCATCCTTTCGAGTAGTGTTCCCTCAAATCATTATCTGAAACTGAAACTGCAGCTACCAATTTGGATCATATCGTTGTTTCAATCCATACCAGGGTCCACATGAAGAAATTTGATAGGGTCTACTATCAACAGGCCGCAATGATGACTTCTATTAAAAGTTGGCGTCTTTTCTTTCTTTCTTTTTTTTCTTTCTTTCTTTCCTTCTTTCTTCCTTTCTTTCTTTCCTTCTCCCTTCCTTCCTTCCTTCCCTCCTTCCTTCCTTCTTTCCTTCCTTCCTTTCTTTTTCTTTCTTTCTTTCTTTCTTACTTTCTCCCTTCCTTTCTTTCTTTCTCTTTCTTTCTTTCCTTCTTTCTTTCTTTCTCTCCTTCTTTCTTTCTTTCCTTCTTTCTTTCTTTCTTTTCTTCTTTCTTTTCTTTTCTTCTTTCTTCTCCTTTACCTGAGGGAGGGCCAGGGCACATGAGCTGGCACATGGACACCCGGGCTGTCTGGAAAACAGCATAGCGATTGACCTGCACTGTACAGGCTAGGATCTCTGAGGTGGGGGAGACTAGGGCTTGAGTCCCCCAAATTGGGGTGGTTACTGGGACTTCCTGATCACCTAGCCCAGCTAAGAGAGGGCCTTTGCCAGTGTGTTGCTGTCTGTGCCTGCTCTGTGTTCCGGATGCCAGTCACCGGAGCCTTCCAGGAACTCTTGCCCTTATAAGAACTGCTCTTAATCTTAGCAATAGCTTTTGGCATCACCAAGCGTTCCATGCTTTCATGTCCTGATGGTTTCAGGTGGCTCTAGATGTGCAGTCTCAGGGAGGAAAGCCTGAGTGTTTACCCTGACCTTAGTGCACACGATGGATGTTGCATCACCTCCTTTGCAAATACCTGTGCAAGAGGAGAGGGACATACCCAGTTGCACATGAAAGATAAGTCCGTGTACCCTAGTGAACCTGTCAAAACTCTCAAACACCTCTTCAAAAGATAAAAAGAAAGGCTGGCACAGTGGTTGAGCAGACTAATTCTCTACATGCAAGCACTGGAATTCCATAAGGTCACTAATTTGTCTCCCAGCTGCTCCAATTTTCATCCAGCTCCCTGCTTGTGGCCTGGGAAACATTAGAGGATGGCCCAGCACTTTGCGACCCTGCACCCATGTGGGCGAGCCAAGGAGAGCTCCTGGTTCCTGGCTTTGGACCTGATTAACCCCAGCCATTGCAACCATGTAAGGAGTAAACCAGTAGACAGAAGCTCTCTCTCTGTGTCTCTCCTTCTCTCTGCCAATCTGCCTTTCGAATAAATAGTAAATAAATCATAAAATCAATAAAAATCATCAAAAAACTGAAAATATAAGCCTACCCTTTGTCTCCCTATATAAAAGCTGCTGCAGATCAAGGCAGACATGTTTTACTGACCCCTCCTTTTGATCTGCTATTGGCAGAACAATTCAGTGATTTTTCTAATATAGTGATAGAAACCTTGATATGTCACTCAATGCTAATTTTTAAAAACAAGACTAGTGCTTCACATAGTTTAGCATACACTTTAGGTACTCTGTCTAAAGTAGTCATGGAGAACCTACAAACCTTAGAATAAACACTTAAGCATGCAGTAATTAATGGAGCTGTTGGGAAAGGAGATTGAAAGTCTTTACACGCAGAATAGATGATTTCACCACTTATACAGGGAGTTTAACAACACCAAGTATTGGGGAAATCATCAAGTATCTTCCCTTCTCAGAGAGTACTCTGCTTTGTAATTCGCTTCTTTCCAACATGGCTCATTACTGACTGGCATCCTTGTCTCCCTCACCCAGTGTAATACTACCTGCCTCAAATCAAATGACCCGTTTCCCAAGGTGTTTTTCCCCTTAGCTGTGACGTAGGGATGGTCCAGGCTCCTAAGCAGCCAGGCAATGAAGAGGGGCACTCTTTCTCTTCCCACAGACACAGGAAAGAGGGTATATATCTTCTGTGAAACATGAAATCAGCCCAGAATAAGGTAGCACAACAGGCCAAACTGGTTTTGCTGTGGATCCAGAACCTGTCCCACCAGCCTGCATCAGAATAGCCCAACACCCTACATGGACTCAGTTCTGCAAGACTTGCACATCTTCCAAGAAAGGCAGCAGAAGATGGCGTCAGTGCCTGGGCCCTTATCACTCCGACGGAATACTCGGATGGGCCTCTTGGTTCCTGGACTTGGTCTAGTTCGTCCCTGGCTGTGGCAGCCATTTGCAGAGTAGACCAGTAGATGAAAGATCTCTCTCTTTTGCCCTATCTCTCTCTGCCACTTTGACTTTCAAATAAATATTTTTAAAAATGCAAAGTTGAAAACATATCAAGTTTAAAATTACTCAAATCATATTTTACAAACAAAACTCTGATTATATCATGCTCAATTATACATTACAGTAGAACTATACATTACTCAGAAAACTTCCTTCATACTTTAGTCACCTTTAAAATATCCTGTAACACATTTTATTTAAAACAAAGCTGACTGAAGGAACATTTCTTTACAAAACAGTGTTAAGCCTATGATTGTGTTAAGCCACTGTGAAAATTAGAACGAAAAAATAAAAAAATAAGGCAGGAGGAGGATAGGTGGGGAATGAGGACAGCAGGAAAGGTGGGGAGGGAAGCACCACTGTACTCCTAAATACGGATGCTGAAGCACGTAAAATTTGTTTACTTTCCTATAGATAAGTTAAAAATGTTTTCAATTTGTTGAATTAATGCAGCATAAAGTAAAACAATGTCAGAATATCACAAATACATATATATAGAAACATACTGCAACTAGCATAGTTCTACTGCGTGAAACCTAAATATCAAGTTATCTAATGACAAGATGTACTCACATAAAAGAATCCAAGCGGTCCAGATATATACGGTATTTTCATTCCCAAGAGATACTTGACTTGTGAAGTGACTACGTGAGTGGCAGCCCCAGTTGTCATCGCGCTGATCACAGGTTCCGTAAGCAGAAAGGTGGCACTGCCCAGTTGTAATAGAAACATGCTCACCTAACAGCACAAAAGAAAAGTCAGATGATACATTCTGATAAAGCTTCCCATAATTCCTCGGGGAGAGGCTGAGTGGCACAGAGCGATCCATCTGCTAGTCTACTTTCCGAACGGCTGTATTACAGGGAGCTAGCCCTACTGAAATCAGACGCAGCAGCTTCCTCCAGGTCTCTCAAATGGGCGCAAGGGCCCAGCGATTGGAGCCATCCTCCACGGCTTTCCTAGGTTATAGACAGGCAGCTGGATCAGCAGTAGAGATGCTGGTATACGAACTGGTGCTCATATAGAATGAAAGCACCACAAGCGGAGGGTTAGTTTTAAGTACCACCACACAGACCCTTCATCACCTCTTCAAAAATATTTATATATTTATTTAAGAGGCAGCAAAATAGACAAAGAGTTGCAATCTTCCACTTTAAGCCCTAAATGGCCACAAAGGCTGGGGTTCTGTGAGGCTAAGCCGTAAGTCAGAAACTAACGGCAGTTTTCTCACAAGAAAGTCTGGAACCCAGCTACCTTACGCACTTGCATTAAGGGAAAGCTGGAATTGAGGGTATAACTAGAACTTGAAGCCAAAAATCCCAATATGAGATGCAGGCAATGGAAGTATTATATTGAACACCTACCCCTGCTTCATCCTTTAACTCCTTTTTCCCACAGAACTTTTGAAGTACTCTTGTATATAAGGAAAATCAACAGCCAGATATAACGTAAAGGGATATGTCTATGGAATCCTAGAAATCAGGATAAGAACTATTTTCTGTAAATAGTTCCTTACTACCACTTACCTCACCGTCCTGCCCCAAACTAGTTTACAGCCAGACACAAGCATGAACTCTGAGTGGAAGCTGTACACTAAGCTCTACTGGGCACAAGGTTATGAATCATCAATTCCCCCACAACCTGTGACACTTCAATGATTAGTGTCTTTCCTTTGTCAAGGAGAGAGCTTTCAGAAGGCAATCCATTCTGACTTAATGCAATTGTGTGAACCAAATCACAGAAAGCACAAATGTAAAACGTACTGTCTTAAAAAAAATATTAAGTTATCTTTGTGATGTCCGCCAAATTCCCACCCGCTGACCGATTTTCCCAATGTAAACATATTGTTATAATAGCATAGACCTTCATAAGGAGTTATATCAGTGTGTTATTTAAGTGTGCCCCAACATTGCTGGTATAGACAATGTCAAACAGTCTAGCATCCCATTGTCTAGATGTGTCCAACAGTTTTTTGGAAATCTATCTTTGATTTGTTTGGAAGAAGGGCTGCATATTACAGTGTATGGTACTTTCTATTGCTCCATCGGTATACATTCCCTTTAATAAGAAGCCACAAAATAAGGTCAACAACAGATACAAAATTAAAACAACAACCACAAAAAATACAGCATCATAGAATCATAAAACTGCACCATTGAATAACCAACACATGGGTGACGAAAAGAAAACATGAAAGCCTAATTTACACGATGGTTTCCTTGCATTACAGAGAACATGGTATTTGTCCTTTTGGGACTTATTTCACCGAGCATAATGGTCTCTAGTTGGGACCATCTAGTTGCAAATCATATAATTTCGTTTTTAATGGCTGAGTAATATTCCATGGAGTAGATGTACCACAGTTTCTTTAATCACTCTTCTTTGCAAGGGCATCTGGATTGTTTCCATATCTTTGCTATTGTAAATTGTGCTGCTGTAAATATGGAATTACAGATCACCTTCTCATATGCAGTTTTCATTTCTTTTCAGTGCATTTGGGTATATTTGGGGTATATTTTGGGGTATATTTGGCTATGAGTGGGATAGCTGGGTCATATGGCAGATTTATTTGCAATTCTCCAAGCACTCTCCATACTGATTTCCACAGTGGTCGCACAAGCCTACACTCCCACCAGCAATGAACCAAGGTACCTTTCTCCCCACATCCATGCCAGCAGGTGTTGTTAGTAGAGTTTTGAAATGTAGGCCAGTCTCACTGGAGTTAAGTGGTACCTCAACGTGGTTTTCATTTGTATCTCCATGATGGCTAGGGAGCAGGAACATTTTTTCATGTCTGTTAGCCATTTGTATCCGTTCTTTTGGAAAAAAAAAAAACTGTTCATTTCCTTTGCCCAGTTTTTTTCACAGTTTTTTGTTTTGTTTTATTTTGTTTACTATACCTGGGTTTCTGAAACTCTGTAAATCCTGGATATTAGTCCCCTACTAGTTTGGTAGTGTCTAAAGATTTTTTCCTGTTCTGTTTGTTCTTCTTCACTTTGTTAATTGTTTCCTTTGCTGTATAGAAGTTTTTGTTTGTTTGTTTTGTTTTAGTTTGATATAGTACCATTTGTTTATTTTGTCTTTGACTGCCTATGATGTGGTGTCTTTCCCTGTTCCTATTTCTTGGAGAGTACTTCCTCAGTTTTCTTTCAATACTTTGATGGTTTATCGGTGTACATTTAGGTCCTTGAATTATTGGGAGCTGCTTTTTGTATGATGTGACTGGTATGGGTCTTCCGAGCTGCCACCCAATTGTTCCAACAGCATTTGTTGGACCAAGCTTTTTCCCTATATTATTTTCAGTTTTCTGGACAAAAAGTAGTTGGTTACACATGTGTGGGCTCCCTTCTGGTGTTTCTATTCTATTCTGTTGCTCTTTTCTGTTTCTGTACCAGTACCAGACTGTTTTGATGACCACTGCTCCGTAGTATGTCTTGAGGTCTGGAATTGTGATTCCTTCAGCTTCATGTTTATTGCTCAGGATAGCTTTGATTTCTTGTGGTCTCTTGTGGCTCCAGATGGAACTTCTGTATCTTTTTTTCTATTTCTGAGAAGCATGATGTTGCAAATTTGACTGTTATTTCATTGAAGCTGTATATTACTTTGGTAATATCGTCATTTTGGTTTTGTTGCTCCTGCCAATCCAGGAGCATGGTAAGATTCTCCATTTTTCAATGTCTTCTACTTTAATTTTTAATGTTCTATGGTTCTTATCATACAGGTCTTTCACATGTTTAGTTAGCTTGATTCCTAGGCATTTAAAATTCCTCTCCTCTATTTTAAAGGGGACTGTACTTACAATTTCTTTCTCAGCCATGGAATTATCTGTGTACACTAATGCCATCGATTTGTGTTCATTAATTTTTTATCCACTACCCTGCATTCTTGGGGTGAATCCCACCTGGTCCGGACCAGATATCAATTAAATCCTTTTGCTCTAGATTTTAGGTGAGTTTTGTTGTTTCTTTGCTGAGTTTCAGTCTTGTTGATCTGTCCATTGATGTTAGTTGGATATTAAGGACCCCAGCATAATTTTAGTAGGGTCTATGTCTCCCTTTAAATTCATTAAGATTTGTTTTATGTAACTAGACGCCTTGGTATTTGGTGCACATACACATACTGTGGTGATCTCTTCTTGCTGAATGGATCCTTTGATCATTATATGGTGTCCTTCACCTCTTTTAATGGTGTTCACAGAAAAATTTATATCATCTTGTATAAGAATGGCTACACTCACAAATTTTCCTTACCATTAGCTAAGAATATCTTTTTCCATTCTTCCACTTTCAGGTCCCTCTGATTTTTGTTGGTAAGATGTGTCTCCTGTAAGCGACAGATAGATGAGTTTTGTTTTTTAATCCAGTCTTCTAATCTATGACATTTGATTGATAAGTTTAAACCATTTACATTCGATGTTAATATAAATAGATGGCAGTTTGGTCCTTTCATTTTAGCAAAAGGTTTTTGTTTGGTTTAATCTTCTATTGGCCTTTTTGTGGAATGGTCTCCACATTTGCCTTTAGTTCTGGTAGTTACTATCCCTTTTCTCTTTCAAAAGAACATCTTTGGGGAGCATTTATAAGGCTGGTTTAGAAGAAGCAAATTCTTGGAGTTTTCTTTAGTGGAAGAATTTTACTTCATTTTCAAGAACAAAGGAGAGCTTTGCAGGATATGTTATTTTGGGCTGAATTTTTTTTTCCCTTTTAAAACTTGGAATATGTCACTGTATTCTATTCTGTCCTGTAGTGTTTCCTCTAAGGGGTCAGCTGTGAGTTTGATTAAGGTCCTTTTATAGGTCACAATTTTTTTCTCTTGTACATTTGAAGACTTTTTCCCTTATGTTCAAAAGAAGAGAGCTTGATTATCATGTATCATGGCGAAGTTTGCTTTTGATTAACTCTGTTTGGAGTTCTGTGACCCTCCTGTGTATTGTTTTCCCATTCTTCAGATCAGGGAAGTCTTCAATTCAATTTCATTGAATACACCTTTAATCTCAGCTCTGACACTCCCTTCCAATTCTGAGATTCTTCTTTCTGCTTCATTCATTCTAGTTTTGAGACTCTCAGCTGTACTTTTAATTTGCTCCACTGTATTCTTAACTTCTGAAATATCAGCTTTCATTTGATTTATTTCCTGTGTAACATTCCAGAAATTCCTTGAACTCCTTTATTATATGCTTCTCATTGTTCGTCAGAAGCTTTATACTGAGTTTTCTGAGTTCTCTCTCCCCCATTTTCTCAATGTCTTCCTCTGTTTGCTCTGATGGCGGTAGAGTCTTTTGCTCCTTTGCCGGAGAGTCTTCAGTAACATTCATAGTGCTTCTATCTCTTCTTTTACCTTTTGTCATTGCAATTCTGTTTGGCAGATTTTTCTCCTTAGTGCGGGTTTCTAAGATGCATTACCCACAGATCTACAGATCATTTTTTATGTCCAGAATTAGGAAGATGAAAGCTGTCCTAAATAACTGATTTGTTGGCAGTGCTGATCTTGTCGACTGTGCTGGCTAGTAAGTCTGAGTGCCACCTGGAGTTATTTTGGGTTAAGTCTGTATAGTGTTACAATGGCTCTATTTATTCTGGGGAGCCTGTGCAGTGTTCTAAGCTGGATGTGATTTTGCTCCCAGCTTAGCTCTTGTGCAGCTCAGTTGTCCTCCCTTCAGTCTAACAGTGTCTGCTTTCATGAATATGGCATCTGACCAGTACTGATCTATTGTATATGCAGTTTACCATTGATCCTCC